GGGGGGGGGAAGCGACCTTTCCATGTGATCCGCCGTAATGACTTTTGTGGTCACTCTCTGCGACATTGTTAAGATGACTTAACGGCAGCTGGATTTTAATTATGAAATTTTAATGTTATTACAACGTTATCGATGGTACCACGAACATGTACTTTGAGCCACGACTATTAGTTGGCATGCGAACGCACCTGGTTCAGTTAAGTGTGTGTGGCGGTTTAAGATCATTTCCTTGAACTTTTTCATACAGAGATTGTATCCCGTTTGGGACACAGTGAAGTCTTCCGTATTCGCTGCTTTTCAACTCTTGCTATTAGGTACGGGTTAGTGCATCGCAGAAGAAGATATTCCTCTGCGAAAGCGGATCTACCTCTACCTCATTCATTCATGTTGCATTCTGGCCGCGTGGCCTACATTTGCTGTATTTCGGCTCTCACACGGGAAGCTCATAGGCTGCAGTAAATCGTTCAGATAGTTTTTCTGAGTCTGCCTAGCTCATTTTTTTAATCTGCTTAATTGCGGAGATTTTCTGTGTCTGTAATAGGGTGTAGTCTTTTAGGTGCTGCTGTTATTTAACCCTGATTACCTGTCGTTTGAACAGCTGTTTCCATGCCGAATGGAGTGTTTATAACATCACTGACATGACCGTTACAAGGTGAAGGTAGATTTTTGTGGAAACAGATACTCCTTTAGTAGCCCGAGTATTGGACAGGTCACTAAAGGTACTGGATGCGAGGGCGATCTGCCTATTTTATTCTGAATGGTCCCATCGCTGAACATGACACGTAGAGCCGAAATACTTAAATTGATTCTCTTCATCAAACGTTCCACCTTTCTGTCCTGCTAGTAGATCATCCTTGTCCGAGGTGTTTCTCACAACTTGCACTATCTCTACCAGGTATGCTGATGCACTCTTCGATGTTCTTAGGTGTTCACAATGGAAATCACGCAACGATCTCGTGCCGTTATTATTGAGGTCGCTACGGCCGTTTTTTTTTTCAATCACGCCGTTGCAGTTTTCAGCGTCTACTCCGACATGTGCATTAAATTCGCCCATGAGTATCAGGGACTCCATATTCGGCACTTTGGACAGAGCACACTGAACTTCTTCAAGGAAGGTACCATATTTTCTCTCCAAACTGGGCGCATAGACCTGTACCAAGGCCAATGCTTTGCCTGTTTTAGCTTCATTCGGAGGATTACCACTCTTGCGCTGAGAGGTTTCCAATCAGTGATTCTGTCTGGAAGTTTGGGTTCTTACAGAACACTAACATCGATCTGAGCGCGCGTTGTGGTATCGACGCCTGAGTAGAATAGCTTCCATCCGTTGAGGTTCATGAGTCCAGAGCCTTGACGCTTCGTTAACGAGAGTCACACAACGTCGAGGTGGTAATTTATGGCCTCATCAGCTAACTCTTCTTCTTTCCCTCTGAATGAGGATATATTCCAATTTCCGACTTTATGCTCGCACTGGCAGTGTCGTTCTCGTGTAGCCTTTTCTGAGGTACTGTAATCGCATCGCGCTGTCTGCCTCCTCCATTTAGAACGGGTAGCGACTCGGTTGGTGACTGGTATCATCGTCGTCGCTCCGTCGGTATTCGTTAGCCATTGTTGTGCTGCTACGCCCGCGGCTGGCAGTGGACGATTAGCAGGTTCTGATCGCCGACTTTTTGCAGTCTGCTTCAGTCCCCCTGAAGCCTGTGCGGCCCTTGATATCCCGGGTCGACGACCGAGCCGATGTAATTTTCAATAGCGTCCATGCCATGAGTAGCAGGTGGCGAACTTTTGCTTAGATTTCGCCACCATCTCCAACTTTCCTCCTTTCTCAACCGGACTTGGGACC